ACTGCCCCAGTGTTGATCATGAAGCTAGCTTTCAGCTAAATGCTAACATCACAACCACTGATCAGGATCTTTGTCTGTCTGTTCCAGGATGCTGGAGTTCTTCCAGAGGACGGAGACCAGGACCAACTACCCCAACGCTCTTCGTATCTCCAACCTCGTCATGTACATCGTCANCTGATCAGGATCTTTGTCTGTCTGTTCCAGGATGCTGGAGTTCTTCCAGAGGACGGAGACCAGGACCAACTACCCCAACGCTCTTCGTATCTCCAACCTCGTCATGTACATCGTCATCATCATCCACTGGAACGCCTGCCTCTACTACTCCTTCTCCAAGGCCATCGGTGAGTGTTTCAATCCTGACTCTGTTCGTTTCATCTGTGGTTACTGAAGCCTCTAACACCTGGTCCCTGGTCTCTGGTCCCTGGTCTCTGGTCTCTATTCCCTGGTCTCTGGTCTCTGGTCCCTGGTCTCTGGTCCCTGGTCTCTGGTCTCTATTCCCTGGTCCCTGGTCTCTGGTCTCTGGTCTCTGGTCCCTGGTCCCTGGTCTCTGGTCTCTATTCCCTGGTCCCTGGTCCCTGGTCCCTGGTCCCTGGTCTCTGGTCTCTGGTCTCTGGTCCCTGGTCTCTGGTCCCTGGTCCTTGGTCCCTGGTTTCTGGTCTCTATTCCCTGGTCTCTGGTCTCTGGTCTCTGGTTTCTGGTCTCTATTCCCTGGTCTCTGGTCTCTGGTCTCTGGTCTCTGGTCCTCCAGGTTTCGGCTCTGACAGGTTCGTGTATCCCGACCCAAAGGATCCAGAGTTTGGTCGCCTGGTGAGGAAGTACGCCTACAGCATGTACTGGTCCACGCTGACGCTCACGACCATCGGAGAAACGCCGCCCCCTGTGGAGAACTCAGAGTACATCTTCGTCGTCACTGACTTCCTGGTGAGTGTGAAGAACTGATTTTTTATTCATTGAAATTTAGAGCAACAAAGAATAAAGAGACAGTACTGATGCCATGTTTCTATAATAACTCTAAACCACAAGTCTGTTCTATTCTATTCTATTCTATCCTCTTCTATTCTACGCTCCAGGTGGGTGTGTTGATTTTCGCCACCATCGTCGGTAACGTCGGCTCGATGATCACCAACATGAACGCTGCCAGAGCCGACTTCCAGGCTCGCATCGACGCCATCAAACAGTACATGAGCTTCCGAAAGGTTAGTTACATAGTCAGTTAGTTAGTCAGTTAGTTAGTTAGTTAGTTAGTTAGTAAGTCGGTCGGTCGGTCGGTCGGTCGGTCAGTTACACTGGAGGTCTTCATAGATCATAAACTTTGTGATCAAACCCTAAAACACCTGGAAATGTTGATGATGAATGTTGTTTGAAAACTGGGACCCAGAACCTTGAAGAACCAAGAAATGCCAGATCCGAGCTCGGACCGGACTTGTCTGTTGTTTGAAAGCTTGTCCTGGACTCATGCAGAAGCGGGAAATGTTGGACCTGAACCCAGCCGGAAGACATGGACCTGAACAGTACTGATTTCACAGCTATTAACAAGTTAACGTAAACTTACGAGTCGTCAAAACAAAACTTTGTGATTCATTCGTTTTCTCCTGAACCTGCGGGAGTCCTGGGTCGGGGGTCGGATCCTCAGGTTCAGGTGGACTCCTGAAGACCTGTCCATGACACATGATGGACAAGCTGCTCTGATGTCTAATTAATGTCTTCAAGAGTATAAATACATTGTGTCTCTACCAAACACTCTGACCTTTAACCTCTCTGTTCCGCCTCCAGGTGACGAAGGACCTGGAGAAACGAGTCATCAAGTGGTTTGACTTCCTGTGGACCAATAAGAAAGCAGTGGACGAGCGGGAGGTGCTGAAGTACCTGCCTGACAAACTGAGAGCCGAGATCGCCATCAACGTCCACCTGGACACTCTGAAGAAGGTCAGCACACACACAGCAGCCTTCCTCTTTAACGACCCGCTCAGGTGAACGACCACAGACCANCTGAGAGCCGAGATCGCCATCAACGTCCACCTGGACACTCTGAAGAAGGTCAGCACACACGCACAGCAGCCTTCCTCTTTAACGAGCTGCTCAGGTGAACGACCACAGACCGGGTTTGTGTTGTGTGTCGTCGTCCTGCAGGTGCGTATCTTTGCGGACTGCGAGGCCGGTCTGCTGGTGGAGCTGGTGCTGAAGCTGCAGCCTCAGGTCTACAGCCCGGGAGACTACATCTGTAAGAAGGGCGACATCGGCAGAGAGATGTACATCATCAAGGAGGGAAAACTCGCTGTTGTCGCCGACGATGGCGTCACGCAGTTTGTGGTTCTGAGCGATGGAAGCTACTTTGGCGAGATCAGCATCCTGGCTATTAAAGGTATCTGACGCCGCTTCATAACCACATGTCGACTTCCTGACAGGTCGATCGTTTCAAAAACAACACGAGTTAACAAGAATCACCTCGTCGTGGTCGTGACCCTCCGCCACTCAGACTAGTCCCAGGTTACGTCCCTGTTTATCAGAGTCATATCAAATATCAGCCATTATTTCTTTGTGCTAAAAAGTGTTTTCTGAGATCACTGTGACATTGACCTTTGACCTCTGACCACCAAAGTTTAATCAGTTTGTCCTTGAGTCCAAATATTATTTGTGCAAAATTTGAAGGGATTCCCTTGAAGAGTTCTGGAGATATTGCGTTCACAGGGCCAAAACTGCATTTTGTGAGGTCACCTTGACTTTTGACCTTTGAACTTTAGCCAACAAATTCTAATCACTTCATCCTTGAGTCCTAGTGAATGTTTGTGCCAAATATGAAGAAGTTCTATAAAGGTGTTGAGATATCGTGGCCACGAGAATGAGACGGACGTGTGACAACCCGAAAACAAAATGGCTGCCACTCTGACTGTCTTCTTCTTCAACAGGCAGTAAGGCGGGAAACAGGAGGACGGCAAACATCAGGAGCATCGGCTACTCCGACCTCTTCTGTCTGTCCAAAGACGACCTGATGGAGGCGCTGAAGGAGTATCCTGACGCCAAGGCTCTGCTGGAGGAGAAGGGACGGCAGATTCTGATGAAGGACGGACTGCTGGACCTGGAGGTACAGTCACATGACCGCATACAGACAACACACAACAAACACACCTGCTGATCTATAGAGTCATACCTGGCCTTGTCCTGCAGGTGGCAGCGCAGGGCCCCGACCCCAAAGAGATCGAGGAGAAGGTGGAGCGGATGACGAGCACGCTGGACATCCTGCAGACGCGGTACGCGCGGCTGCTGGCCGAGCACGAGGCCACGCACAGCAAACTCAAACACAGAGTCACGCGGCTGGAGAGGAAGCTGCCGCTGCCGCCGCGCGCCGACCAGCCGGGCGACGCCCCGCCCCCGCCCACACCTGAGCCGACCAAATAAGAAGAGAAGAAGTAGAGTCGAGAGGAAGAGCAGCAGGAGGGGTTTGGTTGTAGAGCCTGGATTAGCCAGAAAGAGAACGAGGTTTGAAATTGACAAGGACAAAATTAAATTCAAAGGTCGAATTAAAGTTTTGAATCTGAATTCCGGTTTTCAAAGTAAAAGTTTCAAAATAAAATTAAAAAAAATATTAATTTCAAATTCAGCTCCTTACGTTCAGACTGACGTGACATCCAGAAGCAACAGGCAGATGTTCTGTCTGTTCACATGTGGACTGACACAGGGACGATCGAGCTTCAGAAGACAAGAGAGAGAGAGAAAGTATTACTATAATATTAAGCTGTAAAACACTGTAATTATAATGTATATGCGGCACATATTTCCTGTATCAAGCCGAGCTGGTTCATAGCTGATAGCTTGTATTTTACAGTAAGAGTGCAGCTGTTTCTGAGACTGTCTGAGGTTTAAAGTGTAAAAACACCTGAGTGTGTGTTTTCTTCAAACATTCAAACATTTCCTCTGACGTTTCACAGACTCAATGAGCTTTAATGTCTAGATCAACTGCTTTCAAACCAGTAGAGGTCAGAGGTCAGCAGACCTGCATCTCACTGTATGTACCTCCATGGTTAGTTTTTGTACACTGCGACTGGTGACATGCTGCTGTTGAAGCTACTGAGTAAATAACAGAATCAGTATAAAGCTCTGGAAGCACTGCGCTGAAATAAAGAGATTTTATAAGGAAAAACTGAACTGCTCCTTTTGTAAAACACAGCTGGACAAACACTTAAAAGACTGAATAATAAATACAAACATATAGAAAATACTGCAATTACTACCACATTGTTTTTTTCATTCATCTGTTTTATATACTGAGGATTTTTAATTTATACAACTTGCAGCTTAATAAAGGATTGATTTGATTTATTTATTATAACTATTCAAAACAGCTGCTGGAGGACGTCCTGATGACCTCACAGAATAAAACAACTATAGATTCAATTTTATTGTAGTTTTACAAATTATCTTTATAACTTTCTATTATTATTATTATTATTAAGTAATCATAGAAATAAACAGTCTGGAAGATTCTATCTATCTAACATTTAATTAATTAATGTTAAAGTATGAATAATGTCATAATCATCATGATGACCTTTACTAAAAATAAAAGCAGTAAAACAACAGTGTAGAAAGTATCAAAAGTATTCATTATGCCCAGAATAATATATATTATATTAGTGGATTATAATGTTTGATGTATTCATGTTGGGAAATACTTCAGATAGATTAGAGAACAGAAGTTTAAAGTAGATGAAAATGGAAATACTCAAGTATAAATACTTAATTACAGTACTGGAGTAAATGTATGTAGTTACTTTTAATTACTGCTAATAACAAAGAGTTTACATGTAACAGAGCAAGAGCATTAAAACAGTGAATTAATATTTAAATCATTGACTCGAAGGTCATATATTATTTGTATATAATTAAATAAATCACTGTTCTTCCTATTGGTCCAGAATATGAATGAAACCTCCAGCTGTTGTCGCTGACACGTCGCACTGCCTGTGTGCCGCAGTGCGCGCTGGGATTTGTAGGTTGTACATACACATAGCCCGCGGGCTGTGGGGCTGTATTTACTCCTGGGACTACGTGTACCGGCATGCACCGCGAGCCGCTGCGCATGCGAAGCAGGCGACAGACGCGAGCCGCTGCTGCTGCTGCTGCTGCTGCTGAGGTGAGTTTCACTTAAAGCTGCTCAAAACACTTTCCTGTGTAAACGTTGAGTTTCCCGCTGCTCCGGTGTTTGTTTCTGTTCTAATGGCGGCAGTTCACCGGATGTGACGTGTGTTTACGCCTGCTTTGACTGGACTCTAATGACGGTTAGCCTGTCGCAGCTAGCCGGCTAAGAGCAGTTTGAGCTGAAGTTGTCCGTTAACGTGGAGCAGGTCGGTTTTTAACGGTTTCCCGGGACTGAACAGGGTGAAAGCGGCAGGTTATTATCAGACATTTAACACTGGAACATGTTTTATTTGTTACCGCCGTGTTTTGATTCGTCATGTCGCTGCTACAACCAACATGTAACCTGAGAAAGAGCCGGGCTCAGGTGAAGGTGTGAGACAGGTGTCCGTGTTCAGAGACGGGCAGTGGTCTCCTCCCCGGTGGACACGGGTCCAGGTCCAGGTCCGTCTCTGCTCCAGACTCCAGTCAGAGATCTGCAGGTGTTAACCAGCTACTACCTCTGCAGGACACGATTCAGGACAGAGAAGAAGAAGGTGAAGAAGCAGGAGGGTTAGAGCTGAAATGATTCCAGCCATTAAATAAGTCAATTCACAAAATGAACTTGTAGGAACTAAGTTAGTTAGCCAACACACTGTGGTGTCAGCTGGTTCACTGCTTCTCTCTCTTTATGTCAGTAAACTGAAGATCTCTGGGTTTTGGACAGTGAATCGACACAATAAGACATTTGAAGACGTCTCCTTGGCCTCTGAGTTATTACAATATGATTTTTCTCTTTGAAAATAGAAAATAAACAGTAAATGGATGATGTAATATTCAGTTTGTCAATCATTTATGGGAAATAAAGCAGCTAATCGACACATTTGAGATACTGGAACCAGTGAATACTGGACTATAACGATGAATCAATAATCAGAAGAGCTGCTGAATATTTCCTGTTGATACAATAATCTATAAATTGATAGAAATGATTAAACATTGAAATAAATGTTGCATCTCTCACCTCTGTCTGTAGGGTTTTGGAGGCGGTTGCCATGGAGCCGGCCTGGCGTCAGCAGGGCCGGGGCCGAGGCCGGAGCCAGGAGGGTCCGGCTGAAAGGTCACGACCTCCACAGAAAGAGAAGGAGAGGCCGGGAGGCTCAGTAGCAGGAGGAGGAGGGAGGATGAAGGCCGCCGCAGCACCTGGACCTGAAGCTCCACACGGTGAGGAGGGGCTCGTCCTGACGTCTTCAGGAAACCGCCTCAGGAAGCTGCCGCCATTTAAAACGCTCCTGTTGTTTCCTCTCTGACAGGTGTGTCGGTCCAGACCAAGTTCGAGGAGATCAGGAAGTCCAACCAGGCTGCTGCTCAGCGATTGGTGGAGAGCCGTATCAGCTCCTCCTCCTCTGATGAGGACGACGACGATAATGATGATGATGGAAATGTTGACCACAAGGATGGAAAGAGAGGGAAGATCCTGGCGTCAACCTTCACCACCTACACTGACCAGACAGGTGAGACCCAGATTTACCTGAGGGTGCAAACTGATCCAGGATCTGTCTCCACACGCTGGATTCTCTGGGATCTGCCTGTGTGCACTTCTTCTTCTCTCATACTTTAATACGTGTGTGTGTGTGTGTGTGTGTGTGTGTGTGTGTGTGTGTGTGTGTGTGTGTGTGTGTGTGTGTGTGTGTGTGTGTCCGTCCAGGTGGGGATGCCACAGGTCTGGTCCGGACCGGTCAGTACGTCAGTGACCTGTTTCAGTCCGGAGCTCTCACCTGTCTGATCTGCATCGCCTCCGTGAAGAGGACGCAGCCGGTGAGACGCAGGTCCTAGAGTTCAGGTGTCTCTGTCTCCAGGTGTTGATCAGCTGACGTCTGTGTCTCTGTGTCCAGGTGTGGAGCTGCTCCAGCTGTTTCTCCCTCTTCCACCTGCCCTGTATTCAGAAGTGGGCCAGAGACTCCGTCTTCCTCGTCTCCTCCGTCACTGACGAAGACTTCGGGCAGAAGCAGCACCCCTGGCCGTGGTGAGGGAGCCGCTCGTCTGCGGCTGAACCACACGGGACATTTTTAATTAATGAAGACAATAACTGATTAATTAACAGGCCGTCGTCACATCTCTAATCTGTCCGGGTTTTCTCTCCTCAGTCCAAAGTGTCGGGCTGAGTATCCTCCCAGCGCCACGCCCAACAGGTATCTGTAAAGTCTGATTTCACCTGAATGCATCATAATAAATTCGGATGGACCATGTGCAGGGTCAAACTGGAGCCTGCAGCACCAGACTGGTCAGACTGGGCCACACATCAGTTTCTAATGTACACAAACAAACATGAGATCATAACAACAACAACAACAACAATAATAAGATGATTATGATTATAATAAAAAC